GGTTTTTGGTTCCATTTCTTTTGTACTTTGGCTTTTGGATTTTCTGCCTCAATTATTCAATTAATTCTTCAAGAACTCACCCCTGCCTCTTCGCCTCTTCATTTGGGTCCTCAAAACCTCAACCAAACCCCAACAGATAGTTTCTGGTTTAATCGTGTTGGATGTTATGTGTTCAAGCAATCTTTTGGCTAATCCAACCAATCTAATTTGGCAGTGTTTTTACCCAATCTATATTTTTACTAGGGCAAACCAATACAAATTAGTCACATTAGCCAAGATACTTGTTACGTTTTATCGCAACTTTCAAAAGTCTGAAATGGGTTTAAAACCAACAACCTCAGGAATGGAAGTCAATGTCTTAAAGCTGACGCCACTAGCAAGATGACAGCTCATTTGAAAGCAATACTACTTAAGACTCATGTTACAACTGTAACCAGTGGCTTGCTCAGATTTTGCTCATTAAATTGTTTAACAGAACTAGTTTTAACTAAATAGACTGGTTGTTTTTCCAACCAATCTATTATTAGAATCAATCCAAACTCTATCCAACTGACAGCAACTCTCCTACAAACTCCCACATCTTGACTGAACACTGAGGCTGTTTAGATGCCTGTCGAAGTTCCAGGTGAGCTGAATCACTTCCTGAAGCGGTCATGTGGTGTGGCGGGGTAGCCAGGCTTGGAAGGTCATCTATTTTGGCTCCTCCCCCAAATAAAACAAGCCTCGATACGCACCTCGCGGAAACACCCCCTCCACTACTCGACACACGCTGTTTATCTATACGTTTAATTGCAGTGATATTGCAGTATGGTGATAATATCGTATCGTGACGGGTATCGTATTGCAACATACCTGCCAATACTCCCCCCTACTTTCACCAGAGATGTTTTTTTTGTTTTGTTTTGTTAAAATTCAGGTCCTTAAAATGTAATTATTTATACTTCTGCATTTGCAACAAATGAAATTCTAATTAGATGCTTCAACTAGAAGCTGTGTCAGTTCGTATTCATCAGAGGAGCACGGTGGAGGTGTCTGGCTGACAACCAATCACCAATCTTAAACAAGCCTGACCTGCTGTTTCTGATTTTTGTTTTCTAACCATGTCGGTTGTTATCAGATCTCTATACACCTTCAATATTTCTATCATATCTTTTTGAAAAACAACAAACTGCATCAATGAAACAATTAAACTATGTCTATCTGCCCATGAGGCTGTGCTCTCATATCTACGTAGATAAAAGCTGTGCCGTTGACAGTGGATGATTTTGGGACCTTAGCAGAGGTAGGTAAGATGGTACATAAGATCGCTTTCACATCCAGGAATGCGCCGATAAATCGCTGCAGCCGTACTCGATGTCGTTGTAATTTCCATTCATTTAACTTTGTCACAAGAAGAACAATACATCCATCCAATGGATCAGATTAGGCTAAACAAATTCTTATAGAAAAATAAAAACTTTATATATGTTTCTGTGAATATTTACAACATTTTTGATAATAAATTTAAGGGGCACTTTGGTTAGCGCACACAACCCATGTATGGGCCTTTTGCCGGGCTTACACTGTGCGATTTTTTGCAATTGTTTCAAGCAGCTACAGGACAGACTGTACAACAAAACCGCAGGGTTTCATCGTACAGTGTGAGCTCACTGCTCACAATGTTTGTTCTGACACTGTGCGACCCGACGCTCTGATGCGATCTACCTGCTGCTCACACTGTACGTCTAAAAACCAGGTGGGACTCAGCTCCTTGATGAGATGGCGCTACTCGGACTCGTCTATCCAGAAGCCAAACCAGTAGCAGAGGAATATGAAGCTCACTGGAGTGAAACGCGCTGCCTTGGCTATTTGGGCAATTTTGTGCTGAAAGCCCTAAAAAGAAAAGGAGACAACACATCACTTGGCTACTACGGTCTGTCAATTTTACAGAAAGAACTCCATTTCACTCATTGCACCCCCGCCATGCTTCTGGGTTTTCATCTGAGAGGAAGAAGAAGAAGAATCCTTGTTTGCCCACTGAGCGATTTGCCCACAACAACGTGTTTGATTTTTTCCCCGACCTTAAGATTCCTGATGGGGAGGTGGCCGTGAGAAGCTGATCGCCCCTCGTAACCCCTGTTCACTATATGACGCAAAACGCACGATCAGG